CCATCAATACCTAAAAACACATGCAGAATTCTAAAACTTATTCAAGTAAAATAAAAATGCCTATTTATCTAATGTATTGTTTAATTATTTATAAAAATAATAATCTACATTATTTAAAGTCACTTTCCAATTCCCCAAAGAGGACCGTTCATTTCCATAAAGCTTATGCACATATATCCTCAGTTACTTAAAAAATACAAAAAGTCATTTCATATATCTTATTAAACGAGGAGTAAAAATCTCTTCTATCATTACACTTGAAAACATCTTTGATTAAGGTATTAATAAAAATAATTTTAAATGCATTTAACTTAAATTCTGATGTGGACATAATTCATTCTCAAATACTTGAAGTTTCTTGTTACTAAAAAGTATTAGCTTAAAAACACACAATATTAATCTGCCATAATTTCATTACTTGCCTATAAAGTACTGTAGGAAGAATAGATGTCTTTTGTGCGCCTCCTTCTTTCTTACTTGGTTTTCGCTCCTTGGGTGCCCGCAAAATTGCCGGTATGTTCAACTTCTATTGGTTTGAACAAATGCAGTTTATTGCAACATTTTCCCCTCTATGCCACTCAAGTCAACTGAAAGTGCTAGGATTGTGAGGGGGAATGTTTTACCAGCTATTACACCGGCAAAAAGAATTAAAATGAGTTTTTGTTTCGCAGCTACTTCCATCATTTTCAGGGGAACACTAAAACATTATGAAAATTAAACTTGTACTTGAGCTTTAAAAAGTGAAAGACAAGGATAAGCATTTAAGAACATTTTTTAAAAATACACACAGTACCTTGACAAAAAGAATATTGAAGCCGTTTATTTTCCTCAATATCCCAACTACACCGGTGCTCCCTAGGTTAATTAGAAAAATTATCTTATTGGACCAAACTCTCCACAAAGCAAATGAGAATCTCTTTGGGTTTCTACTAATCTGTAGTATGCTGGCTTCTCAGACAGCAACCATCTATCAAAGTCATTTCTCAGTGGCCCAGTGGGCCGGCATCTGTTCAACCAACTGGAAAAAAGTGTCATGCAAGCAGTACAAATGAATTCTACCTCTGCTATGCATTTTATATTTGCACAAGAAAATCGGAGCTTCTGTTAAAAGTCATTTAATAAATGGAAATGCCGTTTTATAGAAGATTCTTAAGAGACTAACTTGCAAATCAAGCCAAAAGATAATGCTAGCTTGGCAAATAAACTAGTAATAGGCTTGTACTCAACATTAACTTCTCTAAATATAAAATATAAAAACCAGCCCCGGCCAGGAAGCTCAGTTGGTTAGAGCATCATCCCATCCTGATATTCCAAGATTATGGGTTCTATCCCGTCAGGACACATACAAGAAATGAATGCATGAATAAGTGGAACAACAAAAATCGATGTCTCTCTCTCTCTCTCAATCAATTTCCTATATAATAAAAGGCTAATATGCAAATCGACCGAATGGTGGAACGACCGGTCACTATGACATGCAATGACCACCAGGGGGCAGAAGCTCAATGCAGGAGCTGCCCCCCTGGTGGTTAGTGTGCTCCCACAGGGGGAGCGCCGCTCAGCCAAAAGCCGGACTCACGGCTGGCAAGCGCAGCGGCGGTGATGGGAGCCTCTCCTGCCTCCATGGCAGCACTAAGGATGTCCAACTGACGGCTTAGGACCACTCCCTGACATTCCCCGAGGGCTTCTGGACTGCGAGAGGGTGCAGGAGGGGCTGAGGGACCCCCCCAAGTGCACGATTTTCATGCACCAGGCCTCTAGTATATATATAAACACCATAATCTTCCAAATATCCATCAACAACCTATTGATAGAAACAAAGGTCAGTTCTGCATAAGCAAGTATTCATTCTCAGCTTTTAAATTGTTTTATTCATTACTAGAGGCCCAGTGCATGAAATCGTGCACGGGTGGGGTCCCTAAGCCTGTCCTGTGATCAGAGCCAATCGGGGCCGGGCCAATCGGGACCAGGCTGATTGGAGCCTGCCAACCGGGGGGAGGAATAGAAGGAGGAACCGCAGGAGGTTGGTGGGCTGGCTGGGGGGAGGGACCGCGGGAGGTTGGCTGGCCACGGGAGGTTGGCTGTGGGAGCACACTGACCACCAGGGGGCAGCTCCTGCGTTGAGCATCTGCCCCCTGGTGATCAGTGTGCGTCATAGCGACTGGTCAACCGGTCATTCTGGTCATTCAGTCATAACGGTCGCTTTGGCTTTTATATAAATAGATAAGCCACATACATTCTATTCACAAATGCATCCTCAAAACTAGCATGTCACAATACATATCAGTGTATTTGCTTCCTAAAATAATATGTCTACACACATTGTATGATGAATTTGACTCCTTGTAAACCTGTGAAATTAGTATACTGAAAAAATATCTTTTCTTTGAAAATCATTGTTCACAAATAAAACTACTTTCATAATGAAAGGACCACAGTGAGTCTCCATCATCTTAAAAAATATAACTGAAATTACTTGAATGAATTCTTAATTTATGAATTATATACACTGTACTAAAAAAAAAGAACATTCAAAGAAATCCATTTGGCAATGATTCTTCTTTTCAACACAAGCACAGGCTAAAAATGTTCAAGGGTAAAGTAATTTTTTCACAACTATAATAATACCTGCTGAAGGGGAAAAACTATACTTTAAAGTTTCAAAAACTATTTCTTACACAGCTCAAAGGCAAATCAATACGAAAATGAATCTCATCTCTCCATTAGCCTTTTAAATTTTACATTTAAAAAATTCTCACATCAATGTTTCTTTCTCTCTCCCTCTCCCTTCCTCTCTCTAAAAAAAAAATCAATAAGAAATATTTTTTTAAAAACACAAAATGACTAAATATAAGAACAAGTCAGAAGAAAATATGACAAAGAATTTAAAACTGCTAAATTGAGGGTGGAGGGTGGGGAATGTGGTAGGAGTTAACTCATGCTTCAAATCTTAACTTCATCACAATCACAAGTCACTCAAAGCAAATGAAAAAATTCTGCAAACAAGACAGCTGTTAAACCAACCAAATTAAGCTACAGGTTCTAAGGAGGCAGCTTTAATGCTCTAGATGTATTTCAGGCAGAAATCATTACCCAAGAGGATTAGTTGGCCCTAATCAAACCAAATTCTTCAGTTAGCAAAGTGACAGTTGTATCAGAGATCTGATTTTTGAAAATAAAATGGAGAACAAGAATAGAAGAAGATAGCAAATGGAAAGAAACTAACCTGTCCTGTAATTCTGCCTAGTAAGGCCCATATTCCTTGTCCTTCACTTCGAAGTTTCCCATTCAGGTTTTGTAGTTCTTCTAAAGATTCACATAGCTACAATGCAATAATTCAAATGAGTAAACCATTAAAATGTATAGTAAAATATGCAAAAATATAAATTATTTATCAATATCAAAAATATTTATATTTATACTCCATATAGTTTTAATATATCCAAGTTACATACCACTGAGAGATGTATCCAATTAGTTAAGAAGCCTCAACAAAATGTAAGCATTTTTCCTAATGACAATGATACCTACATTTATATATTGCTATATTTTACTATATAATTTCACACACATTTTGCTAATTAATTCTTGTGACTATCGAAAAGCATTTCTAGCATATCCCAATGAGGAAACCAAGAAACATAGGGTTTTGTTGACTTGGCCAAGATTATAGAACTAGCAAGAACCCCCAGGTCTTCTGAATCTAATCCCAGGATTCTTTCACTGTTGTGTGGCTAATTATGGGATATTTCTTCCTACTAATTTTTTATCACTTAAAATGTTATCTAACAATAAGTCAATACCAAATGTTCATGTTACTAATTACCTAATATTTTAGCCACATCTTGCTTTTATATGATCTTTCTTTTTGAGCTCCCTCATCATTAGAATGAGGAGATAGAATAAAAATTTTAACTGGGAAGTATTTTTTTTAATCAAAGGTAACATTACAATTCAAGATAAAAATAGTAATTTAATAAGAAGTTTCCAAGTTTTCTACAAACTTAGAGAAGTTCCACAGTTCAGGGATTAGGGATAAAGAATGTAGTCAAACTGCTTGGTCTCAAACACCACTCTATGACTTGAAGGCCTACATGAGCCTAAGCAAATTACTTCACCTGTTTAGGAGTTTCCTTCTCTGAAAATGGGCATACTCCACATTATACAGCTGTGTGAGAATTAAATGAATGAATACATGTAAAGTTCTCAAAATTGTGACTGGCACATAACATAGCAAGTGCCCAGTAAGTGTTAGAGATGATAATGAAGACAATGAAGGGTGGGAGTTGTAGGGAAGGGCCTAAAAACTCCAGAAGAATTTCAAAATGAAAAATAAGAAGTAATGCTGTAAAAATCACCAAAAAAATCATCAATAAGATCAATTATATTATTTGTCCTGCAGCCAACTCACCTTATTATATTCCACATGAAGCTTTTCTTGTTCATTCTCCAATTTATCCTTTATATTCTTTTGTTCAGCCATGTTTTCCTGAATTTGAATCATGCGCATATTTCTCTCTATTTAAATTAAATATCCAATTTTACTTTAGTAGAAAATAAAAGCTGATATACAAAATACACAAAGGAAGAAGCTAGCCATAGAAATGTCACATGGACAAACCTACATTGTTTAAAACGCTTTTAACTCTATGCACAAAGATATGAACCTAGCATTTTACAACAACCCACAGATTATTAGGAAAACAAATAAACATGCTTCTGCTTGATACATGCAGCATGACTAATAAATTAAAAATTGACAGCATATCAAATATTTTCGTTAGCAAATTGTTTTCATTGAAAATGTGCATGCATCAGTGTCTATACTGACCAAAATAATAATTCACAAAATCAGCAGTGAGAGCAGGTTGCTTATGCTTTCTCCTTCCATCCACACTAGAACTAGTATCTGAATTGTCCACTGGGAAGATATCTGTGCTGATCCCCATTAGTTCTGCTTTCCGCATCAGTTTCCGAATGGCTGAAGCACTGCTAGTGAGTGGTCTGGGCAATTTTTCCCTGGGAACCCAGGCCTGGGGTCTGGTAGATCGAGCTAGTTCTGCTTTGGCACGATACTGCTGAAGCCGGGCATTGATCCTTGCCTATAAAAATATGTATACAAATTTTAAAATATATTAAAATGGAATGTACTCCTCAAAATTTTTACCTCCATGCTTAGAGAAAGTAAAGATACTTGAATTCCCTGTGTCAAGGCAGGATAGCTATCCATGGTCCTTGAGGTATACTGGTCCTTAAGATATACTGTATAATTCTTGGGTTACAGTAAATTACGTCTACCCCTAGTAATAACTGTCCTACTCTATGATCAGAGTTGTCATAAACTAATTTGATTAAGCTGAAGTTTCTCTTCTTAGTAACTGCAATAGTGTCCATAAATTTACTTAATTTACACAGAAATACATTTTAAATGATGGGCAAACTGATCAAATCCTTTGCATAAACATCAGAACAGACTGAAAAAGATGTGGGTGACATATTGCATGGATAGGATAATTTCTTCTAAGCCACATTTCTCAGTGTATTTGGAAACATGCTTTATAAATGGTTGCTCTGTTGCCTAGATGAGGAGCAATGTATTTAGCCACAAACTATACTCTCCAGTTAACTTAATGACAACCCATTTCCTAAGTAACTAACCAAATTTCATCACTATATTTCATAAGCCATTGGCAAACACATGTGAGATCTGAAATACATAACCTCAAATAAACGTGAGTTTGGCATAAATTCCATACCTGTGCTTCTGGTGATAGCTGCTTCTCTCTTTCTTGTAAAGACATTTTACAGTAGGATTGTAGAGCCAAGTAGTTTTTTCTCTTCCACTTTCTATCTAACCTATCTGCATGTTGCTTGCAATAAGCAAAAAATGGGTCTGCTATATCCTATACCAAAAAAACAGGGAAAGAAAGTAAACATTTTTACTCCAAAAGGTTATAGAAAACCTAACACAAGAGATAATTTTTTAAAAACTCTCCAACATTATTATTTCTAAAATAAATTATAAAAGTAATTTATACACATAGTGATAAAAACTGCTTCTTTAGAAACTTAATTCTGCATGTCAATGTCAAATTAACAATATTTTTCTTTAAAGGGACTTATGGATTTAAAAATACTTAAACAACTCTTATGTTGTATATTTAATCCATAAATTAAATATTAAAAATTCTGTTTAAAATAAATAAGATGTTAATAACCTTAAGTAGAAATTATCATTAAATATCAAAGTTATGCATATATAGATTAATATTATAAAACAACAATATATTAAGAAAATACAGGCCCTAACTGGTTTGGCTCAGTGGATAGAGCGTCGGCCTGCGGACTGAAGGGTCCCGGGTTCGATTCCAGTCAAGGGCATGTATCTTGGTTGCGGGCACATCCCCAGTACGGAGTGTGCAGGAGGCAGCTGATCGATGTTTCTCTCTCATTGATGTTTCTAACTCTCTATCCCTCTCCTTCTCCCTTCCTCTCTGTAAAAAAAATCAATAAAATATATTTAAAAAAAAAAAAAGAAAGAAAGAAAATACAGAACTAGCCAACAAGATAAGTGGGACATGTCCAACTAGCTACCAATGCATGGACAGATTCTACCCAGGACAAAAATGGATTAGGAAGACCAGGCCCTGCCAATAAAACACTTTAAGTATCCCCTTTAACTCTTTATATAACCCTAAAACCTCATATGGAAACACAATGCTCTCATAGCCATCTTTCATAGTACTAGCCTTTTTTCCCCGGGAAGGAGGGAGGGAAGGGAAGGAAGAAGGAAGGAAAGAGAAGGGAAGGAAAGGAGGGAGGGAAGGAGGGAGGTAGGGAGGAAGGGGAGGAAAGTAGTGTGGGGAGGGAGGAAGGGAGGAAGAAAGAAAGAAAACAACTTATTCTATTAGAAACAGAAATATTTTTTAACTAAATAGCCTAAAAAAGTAATCTACAATGTGACTGCTAATGAAATAACAAGAAGTTGTAAGGAGGAGAAATAAAGATAAGCTACCCATAAATTTTTATCTAAGTTATAGTAAAAGGGTCTATTAGTAAGGTGGGGTTTTATAGCCCAAAGAAAAATGATAACATTAAAAACAAAAAGAAACAAATAAGAAAGAATATAAAGAAAAATAATAACTAAAAAAGAATCTAAGGTGTCCTTAACATAGAAAAAAACATACAATGTAATTCTGTAGGGTGGTATCAACAGATGTCATACTGTAATGCTGTGGATAAGGTCACAAAATTAGAAATATAAAGCCCTAGATACAAATTTTAGCTCTATCATTTACTGGTTTTGCAGCTTCAAACAAGTTGCTAAACAATTCACTAGTAAAATGGACTTAATAATAACTATTTCATATGGCTATAAAAATAAAATACAAAAATGTAGCTACAAGAGTGCATTCAAACACACACACACACACCCCTTTTTCATGACATGCTTTAAATCTTGGTGACAGAAAATGCTAAATGGAAACACAGATTATATTGAACCTTAGCCACATGGTCAGATCTGAAGTATTATTCTATTGTTTTAAAGTAGGGAAGGTTGAAATTGAATTATCAGGTAGGATTCATGTTTGCATGGATGAGTTAAACATTGGGACCAAGTCTGACTTAGGAAAAAGATCAATCTTCTCTGCTCTAAAAGATATCTGAAAGTGAGTAAGTAGCCCAAATAATTTTTGTTCTGTTTTAATCAGTTAATTTTGGATTGAGGGACAATAAACCCTAATTCTAAAGCTAGGATGACTGAATATTGTTTAGAGAATGAAACAAACATATCAAGCAAATATTAGCTACTGTAAAAACCACTGCCTTCCAATACCTATTCTCCCCTTTTCTTCTGTCAGTACTAGAACCCTCTGAGTTTTGACTGCATCCGTGTCTATCCGGTTGGAAATGCTCTGCTCCAGCCTCCCTGCAGATAGATATGACCATGTGATAGGATCCAGCCAATGAGGTGTGAAATTTCCATGCCCTTGAAAGAAAATTGCCCACTCTTACTCTCCTTGTTCTCCTTCCAATGGAGTGGAACCCAGTCAAAGTGGGGATAAACTGTCCTGATCATATTATTATGTTATATTATCTCTGGATATCTCCAGTGTTGCTTGTGAGAGAATTAAGAATAAAAACAGTATATACCATTTTCCTATCATCATGAAAATAGCTTTAACCTTACAGGCCCCTTGATAAAATATTAAGGAGCTTCCAAAACACACTTTTAAAACAACTGATTGCTTAATCTAAAGCCGATAAGCCTAGAAGGAAATTAAAGAATTAAAAATAATTGTAAAGAGAGAGAAATGCAGATTCTAAAGACAAGGTAATGATTTTATTTAGAGAGTAACAGAGAGCAAGATTATTACCCAAATACAATTTCAGACTCTCATATAAAATATGCTGACATTTTAATGCTTTAAAACACTTTGGATTATGTTTCATTTCATCTATCAGATCTCACTACCAAAATTTTATTTAAGTTTTCCAATTATCTGACTTGCTTTGAAACTAGAAAAAACTCATATATATTGTTAACTCTTGATGTTTTAGACCAGTGATCTAGGCAAATAAACTTACAAGTTTAATTTATGATGTATACCTGATGTAGGATATAAGTCATGAGAAGCTTCATGAACATATTCATCAACTATACGTTTAAATAAACCTACCTCTTCTGCTGCTGCCTCCGAAAGCAGGCCTTCCTTCTGGGCACAAGTCACGTGGAAATAGGCTCTGCACATCCCTGCATCACAGCTAATGCAAACTCCAGTTCTAGCAAAACGAGGGTCTTCACAGAAGCTACACTCCTACAATGGAATAACAGGAAAGAGCTCAGAGTACAAATATTTCTAGAAGATAACATTCTCTTACAGAGCATCCACAAAATACAAGTGGTGGACCAATATTATATCAATACAAACAACAGTAGGCAAGCCAAGAGTGTATATGAAAAAAAAAAAATTCTCTATGTGATTCAAATAAACCAAAATTCCACAGACATAATAATGATGATATTACTTGAGGGTTTACCATGTGCTAGGCACTATTCTAAGCACTTTGCACATATTAATATCATTGATCAATATTCCACACTAATATGTGAATGAGGTACTATAATTATTCCCATTGTAGATATGAGAAAACTTTACTATAAATAATAAATGATTTAGTGCTAACTGCTATACAAACAGTTTGATTACTAACAAGCATCTCTATAGTCAACAATATACCAGTAGGTAAAAAGCCGTGTAAACTAATAAGAAAAAAACTTCCTATTTTAGACAATCAAAAACATTGTCTCACCTTGGCACCATATTTGGAATAATTCATTTCGGTTAGTGTTACTGGTCGTAATTTGTCAATATCTCCAAATGCTACTCCAGGAACATAAAGGGCACAAACAATGTGAACCCATCTATAAGGAGAGAACATATGATTTTTCTATCAAACCCTTTTGTAAAATGTCCACATGGAAAATAGACATAAAATATATACTATCTCGAATAACTAATGAAAGAGTTCTATGGTCAGATTTCAGAATCTGTCATACACCTGAAGATTATGGAACATGTATAGAATGATATTCAGTTACAGAAAGAGTGATTGCAACAAGCACTACTGATCCAGCCGCTCAGCCAAAGCTGAGAGTTAACAACTATAATTGCCTTGCACTTAAAATTCACTACATTTGGCACTTATCTGTTAGTCTTAAATATTTGCACAAAACCATTACTCAAATAAAACAAAACATCATTTTCATATGTGTGAAAAAGTATTCACATTCATTATTGTAAGTACTTTGAGAATTAAGGATACTAATTGAAGAACTATGAAGTTACTCTGCAATAATTAGGTAAAATTATTCTTGTTACTTTTTTTCTAAAGGCTGTTGGATAATCTTCTGAGGACATATTTTAAAACAATTTTTGGTATGCATCTTGACTCTCTTCCCAGTAAACTGTACAGAACAGTTATAATAAGATAAGGAAGTCGTATCTCTCTCACTCATCTCTTCACCATATAACCTATGTATTAAAATTTATATCCCCCACATACAAAATTTTTTTAAAGTCTGAATGATGGTGCAACACTAAACAAAGAATGTTCAAAGTTTCAGTACACTAAAAAGAATAAACACAAGTTGATTCTAATTCTGTTGTGTGTTTTTTAACTGCTCTGAACCTTTTTTGAAAATATATATTTTTATTGATTTCAGAGAGGGAGAAATAAACATCAATGATGAGAGGCAATTATTGATCGCCTGCCCCCTGCACACCCCCTACAAGGGATTGAGCCCACAACCCAGGCATGTGCCCTAACCGGGAATCGAACTATGTATGACCTCCTGGTTCATAGGTCGAAGCTCAATCACTGAGCCATACTGAACTTTTAAAAATATATTACGCTCCATTTCTGTTTGCTTACAACTAAACAAAAGATGGATCACTGGATTTTGAAATTTAAACAGATCTATATCTCTTCTGTAAGAAAGAGGGTAAAAATGAGATGGCAAATCTCTCTTAACTTTGTGAATATATTAACAATAAATTCTGCTTTATCACAGCATAAGGGGCTATGATTGCTACATGGTTCTGTTTTGTGATGCACTATGAGTTTTAAAAAAACAAGACTATGAATCATTTTATAGAGGTTCTGGGGAAAGTAGCTACAAATCTTTAAAAATTATCTTTTTTATTGGAAAAAAATCCAAGGTTTGGAGATTTTTCTTGATACAGTATTTTAATCCAACCTCCCAAATGCATCCTGTGGAGTTCAATATAAAGATACACATCTTCGACAAGCAGCTTTCTCAATTTAATTTGCGCCGTTCTTTCATGCTCCACTGGTGTGTTAAATGCTGCTGTACTCTACAGGAGTTTATCTTTGATAAACCTAACAGCTGGCTGCTTGCTTCGGACTGACCTTCTTAAAATGTCTTAGTACAAGTCACACAAGTACTACAGATACAAACCGCCATTTCAGTATGATTGGCACACAAGTGTATCATTTTCCCCAACCACTCATGAGAGGACACCAACATGAGTCTTTATTCAAATGCATATCAACAAGCTGAGGCAATGTTGGTCCTTATTAATACCTGCTGTGAATAATTTTTTGTTCACTTGTTTAGCTGCACAAGCTTTAGAACTGTGTAATTAAGGCAAGTCAAGAAATCAAAAAGGAATAATCTTCCGTGTTACTTTACCATCCATTTTGCTTGGAGCTATGATGACAGATGTCGATTGGGGAAAGGAGCAGAAAACAAGCACCACATAAAACCACCAAAAAACAGAGTCAGAATTGTCATTCTAGTATAGAAACTACTGCTAGATTCTTTTAAATTCACATAGTTTAATAAATTAAACTAAGTAGAAAGATGCTTTCTTTCAGAATAGGAACTACATTAATCAATCAAATTTGATTCTTAAATGCCTTGAACTTGTAATGCCTTTTCGACATAGGAAATTCACTTCCAGTATGTTCTTTTCAGTCCTTCATCTATTCGTTCACTAATCAATTACTAAGTATCTACCAGGAACAGAGCACCTCAGGTATTTTGGAAGTCATAATAATGAATGTGAAATGCTTGCAGCATAGTGTCTAGCATGCTATCTCTAGAAATTAGAGTACATCTAATATGTTCCCTAGTCAGGTTTATTAAACCACTTAAGACAGGGTAAAATACTCTAAGAAATGAAATAAAAATTTAATGACAAGAATATACTGATGTTTTTCTCACATTCAAACACATCATTTTCTGTATAGAACTGGTGGCTACCATCAGAAACAAGGAAATAAGTCTAGTTAGTCCATGTGATAGAGGTCAATTTCAAAACCTTTTTTATTCTTTCCCGTTTTCCATGTGAAGCTAAAATACTAAAGGCCTTGTCAAATCTTCCTGGCTTCCCCCCCTCCCCCACCTTGAATCAAGCTAGTGTTACATCCCTTAAACTTTATCAAGACCTAAAATTTCCATTATAGCCTATAGATGAGTATGGACATAACATTAAAATTGTCCAAATAGTATAAAAGAACTTTTGCCAGACTGCAGGATCAAGGGAGGTGCCTATATATGTAAGGTCCACAGGAGTCAATACAGATATCTCTCAGTAAATCTAAGTGGTTAAAGAGGTCTCCCTTCTTTTCATTCAGAAACAACTTAGCAGTTGCTTTGTGGATTGTCATACCATGAAGAGACAGCTACTTTAAAGTTTTTCAATAGAACTTTCAAATTATTAACAAAACAACAGAAAAATTATCCTCCCTAAAAGGAAGCTCTGTGTTTTCCAAAGTTGCTTCCTTATTCGCCACAATTTGCCACCATCAACTTCACCTCTCAGAACTGAAGAGTTACCAGAAAGAATTTAAGCAGCTGATACTCTGTAATTACCTTAAATAAGTAGAATAATATTTTTAATAAGAAAGTACTAGTAGCAGCAGCAGCAGCAGCTAAACCAAGGAGGCATTTAATGAGTACTTAATATGTTTCCAAAACTGTATAATTGTTTTACATGTATCATCTCATTTTATCTTCTCAAAGGTGCTAAGAAAAATGAGGCACAAAAAGATTAAATAACTTGACTAAAATCACAGTTACTAAGAAAATACAAAAATCCAAATATAGGTAGTCCAATTTGAAAGCACAGTTTAAATGCAGTAACTAAACTCCCTAATTCGAGGCCAAAGTCAGTCCAAAAATAAAATAATGCCCATGTATATGATAGACCACAGACTCATGTTGATACATTAAATCCTTTGTTATATATTTCTTTTGTTTTATATTTTGATGTGAAATTAGGAAGAAGAGGTAAGAAGTTTAGCCATTTTTTCCTAGACATCAACACACACAGGGTTCTCTAAGAATTCATGGTAGAGTATGTCCCAACAATGTTAGATAGCAACATTTCTCTAGAGCCTGTATACCAATTGAGGCAAAAATGAGAAAATAAGAAAATAGGAAAAATACTTTTTACTTTACTAAAATAACATTTATTCAATTTAAAATCCTATCCTTTATTTTGGGACAGAATGTATCCTAGCCTTTCCAATGCTAAAATATGAAAAATGATGATGATAACTTGTATAGGTTGTTTTATTTTTATTAAGATACTAGAGGCCCGATGCATGAGATTCGTGCACTTGGTGGGGAGGGGGGGCCCTCAGCCCAGCCTGCGCCCACTCACAGTCCAGGAGCCCTCAGGGGATGTCCGACTGATGGCTTAAACCGTGGGTGCGGGCCTAAACCAGCAGTTATACATCCTTAGCGCTGCAGCAGAGGTGGTAGAGGCTCCCACCACAGCCGCTGTACTCGCCAGCCGTGAACCCAGCTCAGGGCTTCTGGCTGAGCGGTGCTCCCCGTGTGGCAGCACACTGACCACCAGGGGGTAGCTCCTGCTTTGAGTATCTGCCCCCCGGTGGTCAGTGCACGTCACGCCGTTTGGTTGATTTGCATATTAGCCTTTTATTATGTAGGATTAGACATGTTTGATAAAAATACTGAAATGCCTTTATGTGGCAAAATACAAAATTGAGCACCTCCTCTTATATGGAGGGGTGAAGGTGTGAGGTGGTTTGGGGGAGTAACCCACAAAATACAAAAGGTTAGGGACTACTTTTTACATTCCAGTCACCCATCCCAGATGGTAGTCTCTTGAGAAAAAACATGAGAGAGGTCAACATTGTTCTGATGACAACTGCTCAGATGTGATGATAAAGATGAGTGTGTGTATAACAGTGAAAAGAACATAGGTCTCTGCCTCTCAACACCAAACCCACCTTATATCTGGAGCCCTTTAGCAAGCATTGCTGCTGTACAGTGAGCATGATGTTCAGCTTTCTTAGAGGACATGGTCAGAGGAAAGCACTTCTCAGCAGAGATGGGTGGCAGGCGGAGGACATCTGCCAGAGCCCTGCCCCAGTCACACGCATCACCCTCAGTGACCTTGCAGGCCTAGCCTGGAGATCACTTTTCTGTGGCCCTCACAGTACAGACACCACATATAGGGCCCCAGCTCCCTCTGCTACCTGTGCTCAGCCATCTGTACTTGCTAAGCAGATTAGTTCTGGCCAAGCCAAACCAGCAAACTACTCTGTCATCCAGTAGGCCACAACTACACCTTCTCTTTCTACAAGGTCTGAACCCCAGCCTGGGAGAAGGGGTTATCCTTCCAATTTTTAAGAGTTCTTTTATATCTGATAGTAACTTTTTTTATCAGAGCTTAATCATTCTTAAAATTAAACTTCTTCTTTTAAATCCCTATATGGGCTTTGTGACATATTCTTGGAATAAAAAAGACATGAGTTCAAACTTGACTATTCACCAGCTTGTGGTTTTGAGAAAATTAAAATTATTTAAATGATCTGAGCCTTAGGTACTAAGTCAGAAACTTTATAACTTGTCTCACCATAGAGTTAATATTAGGATTAAATAGAATAATGAATATAAAGGCAAATGTAGAAATTCAAAAAATGGTCTCCCCCTCCCCCTGACCCTTAGCCTATTGTTCATTTACTCTATGCTAAGAAGATACAAAAAGGTGATCAATGAAAGGGTGTAACTCAAAAAACCAGAATAAAAGAATAGTCAGAGTAAAAAAATAGTCAGAAGCAGACACATTATAAAGCATGCATATTCACTCAACAGAATTATGACATCAACCTTCCAGCATCTGTCTCCTTGAAAATTCCATCCTGATTAGGACATAGTTCACAGCTAGGGGAAACACCACATTTACAGGCATCACAAAACCAAGGTTCAGTGGAGTTTTCAGAAGCTGAACTCATAATCGAGTCACTCTCTCCATCAACTCCATAACAACCTAAAAAAAAAAAGTATGATTAATAATTTATTTTTTAAACATATTTATAAATTCACAAAAGAGAAAGGGAAGTAGAGAACATTCTGAAAAATAGTTTATAATAACGACATTAATATCAAAACGCAAAGATGAAATCATTTTTAAAAAATGCTTTTCCACCTACCATAGTATATGCAATAAAAAAGTCATATAAAATAATGCCAAAGATTTTAAAGAACCTACACTAGTATACAAGATAAGTAATCAAAATTCATTAATTTCTTTAATATCATTGAATTGTAGTTGGTAATCATCATCCTCATCACATCTGTTGAGATATACAATTTTAAAATGAAATAGTCATAAAATTAAAAGGAAATAAAATTTCCTTGGGAGCAGTTATTATTGTCATCAATAAAAGACACTTTTTCAGTAAAGACAACAATAAGCAAAATATTGTATTTAAAGAAAAATCATAAAACAAAATAAAAATAGTCAATTTGCTTTCTCAAAGTGTTGTGCAATAATAGAAAGGGGGAATTTATTTTCTTTACAAAATAAAGTTCCCTATGAAGCCAATTCTCTCATCTGTATTCACACAAAGAAGGCAATTACCTATCTATCTATATATATAAAAACCTAATATACTAAGTGTCCGAACAATCTGTTGACCGTTCCATCGACCACTCAACCAGTCACTATGACGCACACTGACCACCAGGGGGCAGACACTCTGCTGGGGTCCAGAGGATCAAGACTGGGAGAGATGAGCCAGACATGCCCTGGAGCCCTCCTACGGTCCCTCCCCAGCCGGCCAACCTCCCACAGTCCCTAACCTGCTGGCGGGCCCCCATCGGCCCCGATAGCCAGCCAGGCCGAGGGACCCCACCCATGCACAAATTCGTGCACTGGGCCTCTAGTTACCAAAACAATAAAGCTCTGAAGGGACTACCCATTTTATTCTTTTCATTCACCAAAATCAAGGTTCCCTTTTTTAGAATAAAGCAAAATTTCAATTCTATTTTTTGAAGAATATACTACACACACAGCAAACATTTGCACAGAGATTTAACCACCTAGGAACAACCTCCAGAATGAATTCTGAGAGCCTTTCCTAGAAAATTTCTACTTGTAAGTTAGAAGATTAGTATCTTGCAAGCTCAAAAAAACAATCAGCAAGTAGACTGGTAGGTATTTCTTCTTCATCTTCACTGCCCCTGAAAAATAACCCACACTGTATAATCACCTTTACAGAGTTCTTCCCTTGCCTTTCACCTGCCACTTTCCCATATTTCTTTGCCATACCTGTTGGGTTTACTCAGCTCTATACCAAAGTTATTGCTCTTAATGTCTGCTCTAACACATTTTAGTGACTTAATACATTTTTAAATCTTTTTTTCTTTCTTCCATACAAAATAGAGTTTAAACTATCATAACGAAATGTTCCTTCTCTTTTACCTACCTAATTCTAAGAATATGCAAAAAGTGCATCTCCGATATGATCACGGAAAAAGTTTGTTTTATATAGGTAAACATAAAAAAAAAAAAACAGACATAAAATACATTTCAGATAGATTAATCGTGTTTCAAATGAGTAAACATAGAATACATATTTCTATGGCTATCTAATTAGGATCAACATCTAAGTAACACACACAACCTACACAGATCATAGTTAAGAAAAAATAACATAATATGTGTTTACAATTGTTTTGAATTATGCAAGGGTATGGACAGTACAAATAAGTGGAAATTTTCCCCATTCAATGTATCAGAAGGGACCAAAAGACCTGCAGCTTTCTACCTTCTGGTTATATAACTGGGCAAACTGCATCGCTGAGACTGAATTACCTCATCTGCAGTATGTATTTAATTATATCTAGCCTAATTATTTCTCAGCATAGAGAGGGAATAAAATAGAAACACAAAAGTTCCATTTAAAAACTTAAAACAATTCTTAGTTATTGAACATCCTATCACTAAATATCTGATTACAAAATCCACTGAAAGATTTTAAAGTCAGTAATACAGGGTGTCAAACATGTACAGACACTTTAACAGCTGATAGCTCAATTTTGAAAATTAAGTGTATTTTAATAAGCACTGCCTTTATTCAAAGTGTGTATATACATTTTTGGGGACACTGTATATTGTTATTTATGAGAAAGGAACTTATACATGATACCTGTCAGAAATAGATCCTAACTTCTTATGGGAGGAATTGTTTAGAATTTTCAATACAGTTTACTGTAAGAATTCTTGTATAATTATGCAATGCAATTCATTAGGGTTGTAAAATACATTAAATTTTTCTATATGAAAGAAAAATAGGGCTCAGCTTTAAAAAAAAAAAAGAAAGAAAGAAAGAAATAGATCCTAAAGCATAAAAGAACCAACTTTCCTACCCAGTAAACACTCCGCACACACTAAGAAATAAAAATGTCTAGGGCTAAGCTAAACAGCAGAATGAAAACTAAACAAAAGGGAGGAAAACATCTCTTAGCAGACCTAATCTGATTTAATGCACAGCTACTGAACTGAAGAGTAATTGCTGGTAAGTGCACTACCTAATGCTCTGTCACCCACTGACAACAGACCTGACATTTTCTCCAGACACGGTGCAATCAGTGTATCATGATAACTGACAACACAGTCAGGGGTACCCTGGTATTACAAGTCAGTTACAAGATCGTGTCACAAAGGTGTTTACACTGACAGTTTGGAACCCTTCTATTTCAAAAAGAAAAGAGATTTATCTACATTTAGATGAAGTGAGTCCTCTGAAAACTAATCAGACAATCATACATTTAAAAAGCAACATTTGGAGTACTATCTTTTAGCAAAACTTCACCTTAAAAATCACTCTTAACTGTGATTAATTAGGAGTGTGTTTAAAAATAAGGAGAAGGAGGAAAAGAAGAGGGGGGAAAAGAGAAAAGAAATACACCAAAACACTAACTATAGTTGTCTGGATATTAGGACTATTCGAAATGTCTTTTCTTCTCTCTGTTCTCTATTTCCCACATTTATTCAATGCTCATCTATATATATAAAAGCCTAAGCAACCGTTATGGTGGAACGACCAGAATGACCCGTCACTATGATGCGCACTGACCACCAGGGGACAAACGCTCAACGGAGGAGCTGCCCCCTGGTGGTCAGTGCACTCCCCCAGGGGGAGCACCGCTCAGCCAAAAGCCAGGCTCACGGCTGGTGAGCGCAGTGGTGGTGGCAGGAGCCTCTCCCGCCTCTGTGGCAGCGCTAAGGAGCAGCGAGCCAAGTGGTAAGGAGCAAGCAGGTGGGCAATAAGGAGAGAGCAGGCGGGTGGTAAGGAGTGGTAAGCCAAGCAGTAAGGAGCGAGCATGCAGGCGGTTAGGAGTGAGCAGGCGGGTGGTTAGGAGCGAGCAGGCGGGTGGTTAGGAGCGAGGGGTCCCGGACTGCGAGAGGGCACAGGCCGGGCTGAGGGACAACCCCTTCCGCGCCACCGATCCCGCATATGAATTTCATGCATCGGGCCTCTAGTATATTATATTATGATGGGCAACTTGTTTCTAAGATAAAGCATTCATTCAAGTGTTCATTTTTAACCATGGGATGTTTAAGGGAGAGTTGCATGGATGAATTACAATATGAAAATCTGTCATTTAAGCACCTGAATTTTTAAAAAGCAAACAAGCTTTAACAACACTAGCTTCCTATTATGCTTTAGAAAATTTCCCTTTCTCTGGATTAATTAATTTAAGATGAAAATTCATTTAAGGACTTAAAAATTAGTAGAGAAAGATCTACAAATGTGATTGTATAAAAAAGAACATTCTAAACAGTGAAAAATACCACAAATTGAAAAGGTACAGGACAGAGTGGAAAAAATATTTGTAAAGATGCAAAATAATTGTAACAAAGAGCAGGCAAAGGATTAACACTTAAAAAAGAATTCTAATAAACCAATGAGAAAAAGACAAGTATAACCTATTCAGAAATGACAATCGAAATGTAACGCAAGTAACAAATTAACATGCAAAAGGCCGGTTGGGGAGGGTTTTCACAGGTTTGGCTCAGGAATTGGACCTGGGCAAGTAAACCTGCCATCTTCCAATCTGGAGTGACCTGCCTGCTTCTTCCGCGGCTCCCTGCCCTCCAGCTAAGGGGTCAGTTTCAGATTTCATGGGGGAGGCTCTACCATGGTTCTCCTCCTATCTCATTAGCCAGCCCTGTGTTCCCCAACCGCTGAAGGGCTAGGACCACTTTACTACACCCTAGAGAGCACATCCAGTCTCACAGCTTTAAAAACATCTGCAGGCTGATGAGTCCCAAATTCATATCTCTAGTCCCAACATCTTACCTACACCCACACAGTTTAAAAATCATACTTACACTATCTACCTGCAAACCTGTTCCTCTCTTGGATCACTGCAATGGCCTCCCTAAACTGTCCCCTGATTCCCACCTTATACCTATCTGTTCAACCTCCTCACCATAGCATTCAAAACACTCCTTGTCTAGCTTTATTTTCCTCCAGATCACCACCTAATATATATTTATTTATTATTTTATTTTTTTTCATTGTTTGTCTCTCTCCCCAAACTTTAAGCTCCATGAAGTCAGCAATTTCTATATTCTGTTTATTTTACATGTGTAAAACCTACAGAAAGCCTAGTACATGATAGGTACTTAACAAACATTACTGGAAAAAAAAGAATGAATAACAGAAAGAGGAGACATTCCAACAGTGAGCCTTAGCAGCAAGAGAGGGCAGCTTCATATAAAGGCAAGAGGATGGGTTAACAGCACAGGCCCCACAGCCCCCACAAGACCATCAGACTCCCAGAACTATTTGGGAGGAGGGCTGTAATACCAGAAAGACAGCTAAGGGCAAGGCTGTAGAAATATTGTTTTGTGGAAATCATGGCCTTGATAGAAAAAAAATAATAATATTTTTAACTGATAGGAAAAAATAATAATTTTACCACAGAGGAACCTAGAAGACAACTTCTCAACTAAGTAATCAGAGTAACATCACCAGCCACTGGACAAATAAACATTATATGATACCCTGAGAATACAATGTAACTACTGTGAATTCCTGCCTAAAGCACATAACCTGAATCTAATCATGAAAATAAATGTTAAATAAAGATATTCTATAAAGGAATTGGCCTGTATTCTTCAAAAATACCAATGGCATGAAACACAAAAATCTCAGGATATGTTCTAGATTAAAGGTGCCTAAATAGTCAAGACAACTGAATACAATCTGGGATCCTGGATTTTATTTTTCTAGAACTGACATTATTGGGATGATTGCTAAAATGTAAATACAGTTGGTAGATCAGATAATAGTATTCTATCAGTGCTAATTTGCTGACTGATAATTATGTGCTTATGTAAGAATAGACTGCCCTTTTTCTTAAGAAATATACACTCTGGCTATAGTTTACTCCCTTTGAGATCAGAAAAAAATGTTATATGAGAGAGAAGATAAAACAAGGGTAGTAAAATGTTACCATCTATAAAATCTGAGTGAAGAAAATATGGGAAATTCTTTGTATTACTCATAACTTTTTGGTAAGTCAGAAATTACATTAAAATAAAAATTAATCAGGAAAAATACTTCCAATATTCTCCTTTCAAATTAAAAATTAAAAATAACTATGAAAGAAGAAAGCATATTAATTGCTAGACTTAGAATGTAACTTTATAAATACTAAAAACTTTATAAATACTGCAATGCCTTCTACTAGACTAACTTATAAGACTTTTTCTACATCTGAATATTTAAAAACTAGAAATAAATAATACCATGAAGAAAAAATATAACACTGACCATCAAAGAAATACTGTGGCTTCCACATCATAACAGTTCTATTTTAATTATTTAAGAACACATTTAGAGTGGTGAGAGGTTGAAGAGGGTAAAGAAGGTCCAATATATAATGACAGAGAAGACTAAGCTTTGTGTGATGAGCACATAATGTAACATATAGACGATGTATTATAGTATTATACACTTGAAGCTTACATAATCTTATTAACCAATATCACCCCAGTAATAAATTTTTTTTAAAAACTCATTTAAAGTTAACATCTGAAAAATAATACCATTGTACTCTAAGGATTTAGTATGTCTTACATCACTTGAAATATCATGAACTACAGGAAAATCTTAAAAATAGTACAAATGTTGCCCTAACCGGTTTGGCTCAGTGGATAGAGCATCGGTCTGCGGACTGAAGGGTCCCAGGTTCGATTCCAGTCAAGGGCATGTACTTTGGTTGTGGGCACATCCCCAGTAGGTGGTGTGCAGGAGGCAGCTGATCAATGTTTCTCTCTCATCGATGTTTCTAACTCTCTACCTCTCTCCCTTCCTCTCTGTAAAAAATCAATAAAATATATTTTTTAAAAAATAGTACAAATGTCAAAGAACTAATTTTACTTTTTTAAATGCAGTGTCAATCTGCCATGTCTAAAAAGAGAAAAAAACAAAGCAAAATTACCTTCATGAACTGTAATGCCACAATTGTCACACTGAATTATTTCATCAGCATCTTCGCTATTATCTCCAAGACAAACACAGCAAATCATAATATGGTCCATTTTTTGAGAACTCCAGTTTTGACTCTTCTCAAGAATCAGCGAGTCCTAATTATTAAAATATATCAGAAAATCACATAGTTATATTAAAAGATAATTTTAATAATGAAATTCTCACTTAAAATTATTTTATGCATTTCCATAATTACGCTGCATTCTCCATTCTTTTAGTAATTTCAGAGTATGCTACATTTGAGAAGTACACCTCTTTGTCAAAGAACCCTATAACTGCCCTCTATTTTTTCACTTCTCTTCAAGTCCCATATACTTTCTCCTCTAGGAAATGAAAAAGCAAGCATGTAACTAACAAATCTACATCTGCTTTTCCATTCTGAATTACAGTCTAACCCCTTAAACTAGAAGAAAGGGAATATTAACCCACAAGTATTTATCCATCCTATACATTGTTTTAAAAAGTATACATTAGGCTCTTACTCTTTGGAAATTTAAATCCTAGCTAGGGAAGACAAGACACACATATGTTAAACAGGAAAAAACCAATTCAAGATAACATGTAAGCAACTACGTATGTGATGGCATAGTTACAGGGGAATATCCTGTATATAATCCTTACGTGTATAAGGGGAATTCAGGAGCACCAGGGTCATCCAACTACTGGATGACAGATACATGAGTACCTACCTAGGTATATCTGTGTATACAGGTACAGAAAACCGTCTAAAAAAAAGATCCAGGTTGACTAGTTGCTAGAAGAGGCAGAGCATTCATATTAGGTTTATGTCAAGAAATATCTAGTGTAAACTGGTAAGAAAGATACCTAGCTAATTATAATGTAAAAGGAGAAAGATGTATTAATAGATAAATATAAAAAGATAAAATTTCAAGAAAGGAAGAGTTTGTTTCTTTTAATTTAAACCTTCTGCATTACTTTAAAGGGTAAGTTAACAAGATAATTCTTGTCATATTTCACAGATTGGGCTTAGTGTTACATAATAAAAGATGGCATTTGAGTCTATATATTTTCATTTAAGAACCTAACCATATTCAGAAACAAAATTAATAAACTAGTTCTATATTCTACATTCACTAAATACTGTTTTCATATTAATTTTTATATTTTTATATTCTTTTAAACTAATATTGAAAGGTAACATGTAGGTATTATTTCAATAGCAATTTGTAACATTTGAATGACACTTGAATGTCACAATTTATAACAATCTTTCAATATATTTCTGTGTAATACATGTAAGCTTGCAATAGATCTATAAAACAAATCAAGAAAACAGTGCAAAAGAGGTATGCCATATCTCTTAAGAATTCCAGTACTTTAAAATATTAAGTTTGCTTCTTTTTTTTTTTTTATAAAAGCAAAGTAACTGAGGGGCTTTGGACATGGCAAGCAAGTACAGCTAAAACCTTCCTAAAAAGAAAATGTGTTTTACAGTACTTTGGTACAGTGAGCAAAGTAAAAATATGCCCAGATTCCATCCCATTAGCCATGCTTCAAATGTAACAGCATTTGACTTAGAGTCAAATGTTGTTTGGTTTCACTTTCATCTCTTATTCAATAGCTGTTGAACCTGAAGCTGCAGTTTTCTCACCTGTAAAATGGGATGATAAAAATAATACCTACCTCATGAGGTTGTTGTGAGAATTAATAACATAATGTATGTTAAAATGTTCCCAAGACATACTAGGTACTCAATTAATGTTCATTCCCATTCTTCTTTCCCCTGTATTTTCTTGTAGGTGGGTCAAAAGAGAAACATTGAGATGACCTTTTATTACACAGGGGAATCTTCCTCGGAACCCCAAAAGAAAAGTTATAAGCCTCAATGACCACACTATTATAGACTAGAGGCCCGGTGCATGAAATTCGTGCACTCAAGGCGGGGGAGGGTCCCTCAGCCTGGATTGCGCGAGGGCTCAGGCCAGGCTGAGGGACCCCACTGGTGCACGATCGGGACCAGGGAGGGACACAGGAGTTTGGCCAGCCAGGGAGAGACCGCAGGAGGGCTCCAGGGTGTGTCCAGCCCGTCTCGCTCAGTCCCAATTGGCCAGACCCCAGCAGCAAGCTAATGTACCGGTCGGAGCATCTGCCCCCTGGTGGTCAGTGCATGTCATAGCGAGCAGTTGAGTGGCTTTAGCATATCATTAGCATATTACGCTTTGATTGGTTGAATGGATGACCAGACACTAAGCATATTAGGCTTTTATTATATAGGATATTCTCCCATGGTTAAGTCCAAAAAGACTTTTTTCTCTGCATCAATTTCAAAAAACTTTTTTCTTAGAATACCACATGTAGGTTTTAAAAATCACAGACTAGAAAAAGACCTAACAACCAGTTTGATGACTGAGAGGATACTCAAGTTTATGGGCTGTGACAATATTTCTCCCGTGGAATTACAACTAATCAGGCCTTGGAAAAGATTTATCCATGTGGGAAACAAGTAAATTTCTATGGATCAGAAAAATTAATATCAACAGGTAGCTCTAATTCCATTACTTTCCTATTTTTCTATTTTGCTCAGGAAAACAGTAAGTGGCTAAATTATATCTCTGCACCAATTTCTCTCTATACATATTATCATTTAGAGGCAGATATAACAAAGTTAACTGGTATCTCTGGCCCTCCGTTCCCCATCAATAGAGAGTCTTACTAGCAATGTAATGAAAAAATGAGAGAAAAATGAGGGGAACTAGAGCCCTAAGATAATACTACCAAATCCAATGGTTGATGGCAGGCAATGCTTCAATGGAAAAATCTGAATAACACAGTCTCATAAAAATTATGCTCCAAGTTGTCCTTAATATATCAAACATGGGTTTAAGCACGCTTATAATCAGAATATAACAGTCAATTTAATATCAATTTTTATTAGCATATTTCTAAAGATGTATATCATTTTTCAAGTTTTTGGACAAAATAGTTAAGCTAGAGTTTTCACCACAGAATATATCATTTGAAAATAAGACTTTTACATAAAAATAGAAATTGGGAAGGTTGGTTTGAGTGGCACAAGAGTATCACCTAGAATATAACCTTAATATTATAGAATAATTTAAAGGATTCTAATGGTAACTTTAAGAATAAATGGGACATTACAGTATATCATTTCATTTTTCCCTTGAGATTTAAAATTTATACCAAAAAATGTTAATATTTCCCAATGGTCTCGTGGCTCTAAAATATGTTTAATGTTCATTTGTGTATATTCCAAATAGATGATTATAAACAATATATAAAAATGGTAAATTCTAAGTTATATGTATTTTTTTTTAAAATATATTTTATTGATTTTTTACAGAGAGGAAGGGAGAGAGATAGAGAGTTAGAAACATCGATTAGAGAGAAACATCGATCAGCTGCCTGCACACCCCCTATTGGGATTGTGCCCGCAACCCAGGTACATGCCCTTGACCGGAATCGAACCTGGGACCTTTCAGTCCGCAGGCCGACGCTCTATCCACTGAGCCAAACCGGTTTCGGCATGTGTATTTTTAATAAAAGGAAATTCCAGCACAGTACATGTAAAAAAGAATTTAAGGAATCTATTGCCTTGAAGAGAAAAAAATTAGTATACCAAAGAGTTTGACCAATAGTACTTCCTCCATGTTTTTAAAGGTTAAATTCTTAAAGAATCTGAAGTAATTTTTCTACAGTGTTATAAATTGATCTTTTAGGCCTTGGAGAAATTTGTTTTATTTTGAAATGTGTACAAAGGCAGTTGATTAATAACTAAAACGCCCTAAACAAAGTGGCTATTTATAAATTTCAGCAAAATTTTTACACTTTAATTAGCAAATCAGATGGTAATTGCCATTTCCTCACATGGCATGACACTAATATCCATTTAATATGAGTTTTTATTTTAAAGCAAAAAGAGTAACTTCCATCTGAAAATTTCTATTGATATGATTTTCTGTCATATATTTACCCAAAGCTCTAGTCTTAAAGTCCTAAAAATGGAAACCAGGCTCTGAAAAGACTACACAGCCCTCCCCAAAAAGTATACTTCAGAAAACTAAAAGGGAAGATAACCTTAGTAAATCTCAAAGCTTCAAGATAAAAGTTTGAAAAGGCACATAACCATATTCTGAGGGGATTGTAAAGCTTCAAGATAAAAATTTGAAAAGACATAACCATATTCTGAGGGGATTGTTCAAATAGCACCAAATTCCAAAGTGCCATAATACCACTAACAAAGGCAAGTACCCCTGTGCAGAAAATCCCCAATTCTAGAACAGTGGTTCTCAAGATGTGATCTAGGAAGTCTCCCTCAGGGAGATCCACAAGGTAAAGTCTATTTTCATAACAATACCAAGGTTATGTGCCTATTTCACTCTCTATCATGGGTGCAAGCTAAAGTTTTTCACAAGCTTCAGGATAGGGGATGGCATTATTGATCTGACAACTTATGTTCTTCTATGTCTTATTTTTTGAAATGGTAAATATCTACATATAATCTACATAAATAAAAACTGGTGTCCTCAATATTTTTTTTAAGAGTGTAAAGCGGTCCTGAAACCAAAATGTTTGAAAACCACTGCTCTAGAGTATTTCAAAATGTTTGAGAACCGCTCCCCTAGCACATATAGATATGTTCAGGCCATTAACAGCCAATAGTTATAAAAGGTCCCTGCTCAAAGAAATGTCAAATTATTAAAGTTCCTAGGTATCATTTACATGACACACAAAATATTTCCCTACAAAGCACTTGACATAGAGCCAAGAAAAAAGTCTATATGCTTATAAATTAAATATAATTCTATTAGGTAGTTCTAAAGCCACATTTTAGCTGTCTCTACTACAAAGTAGTATTTGAAAACTTAAAGTAAAGGCAGAGAAAAATTAAACTTCAAATATAACCAAATGAATACTTATTAACGAATGGGTACTTGGCAAGATATAACTACCTACAATAGCCAGGAAGATACAAACATTGTCTATCAGGCAACAAGGATTACCTTTAGTCACCTTTTTACAAAATCAAAATCATATGAATAGGAAATTTAGAAGCATAACATAAAATAATAATCTCAATTGATTCATTTTTATTAAAATTTAATATCTAATTTGAGTAACAGTTTTGGGTTAAACAGTTATCAATCTTTCAGATAGAATATTATTGAAGGGAAATTAACTTTCTATAAGTTCTACATTTCTGCATAGGGTAGAGCAAAAGGAAAATTAACATAAAATAACAGAAGAGGAATTAATTTATTTACTTAAGAAAACACAAGGCACTTTTCCAAGAAATGTTCTGAAATCTCATTTCCTTGGGACTGTTAATCTAAAAACGTAAAGTCCCATTATTTACTAAAGTCCCTTCTGGGTAAGAAAAAAAACAGCACATGTGGCCTTTAAATGCATCCTAAAAATAGCCTACAACCTCATAAGCAATATATTATTAATTACAGATTATTAACAAATGGATAATGTGGCAAATTTCTAAACATATGGTATCTCCACACTGCCTCTATCATCAGCCAGACTACTTTTGTGAATGTCAGGCTAATAAAAATGAAGGAAGTGATGCTGCCAAAAGCAAATTTATTCAGTAAATACAGATGAAATACCAAGTGATATAAAATAAACTGGATACATACCTAAAAATCAAATATGAATAACTGGATTTTCCATACTTCTATCCCCATAAATTGGCATTGAAAATATGGAATTGCCTGTGCTACAACATTATAAATACAGTATTATACTCCAAATGACAATTTTTCTTTGCCTAAAGATAAGAATTAAGATAGCACTTGAGGTAAGCAACATCCTCCTATGAAAGTGGACACACTAGAAGTTAAAAAATGTTTATAATCTAACATATAAACTTTGTTTCGTCTCTACTGACACATAACCCTTATCGACTACTATAAATTATTTGGTTAATAACATCACCAAAATTGTAAATGATACTTAGTTAGGATGGAAAAGCACTGGTATATAAAATTTGTAAGCAAAAGAAATGTAAAAGAACAAATAAAGCATAAAAGGAAAAATATCCTACCAGTTTAACCTGTCAATGGTATGAAAAAACAACAAAAATAAGTGCTTGATAAAGTGAACGAAGTGAATTTTCATGACTATAAACACACTAACAAAATGACAGACTTAATTATTCTAGTTCTACATGTGATGTAACAGATACATCTACATGTGAAAAGACAACTCAATCTTTCTTTTGAAGAAAAACATGTACATAAACACACAGACAAAAAGACACAAATGTGTTTGACTGAAGAGTCTTGAATGCTGCATCTTGGGCCCAATGGATATAAACCTAACTTTCAGTAGAACTTCAAGTGGAAGAACTGAATCGTTACTGTAGTTTTATGATAAAAATGTTTGTTTGTTTTCATTTCTTTGTAGAGAGAATTTATTCACTAAATACATGTAAATATATAGTTCAGTTTTACTTCCATACATCTAAAATAAAGATTTGGTGACCATTCAAATGATGGTGCTGCAACTGGTAAAGAAATTAAATTTAAAAATAAATCTCTAAAAGTCTGAGACAATCGTTAAGCTGTGTTACCCTGCTAAAGTATTCTTAAAGCCTCAACTTTTATATGGATCTGAATATAACTAAGTTGAAAGAAAGGTGACCTTTCTCATAATCCAATTAGCACAATTTAGTAGTCCTATGAACAATGGGGTGAGAGGATAGAAAGGTAAAAGAAAAACCCTACCATTTCCCAAGTCTAAGGATATAAAAATATTCCTCTACATAGACTGTGAGCTCTTGAGAACGATGTTGTGAGCTCCTTGAGAATGGTGACACAGAGTAAGTACTCAATAAAGGTTGGTTGGCCAAATGAATAAATGCTATAGTTAGGGAGTTCATTCACTCCTACAACTGTCTATAAATAGGATTTCAAGGAAGCCACTTAATATAAGGAGTAGACTGGTTTAGAGAATTCCCTCTCCCCAGACAGACAGATATCATAAAAATTGGGTTGATCTACCTCATTACTCTTGCTCTGAGATAGTGTCAGGCTATCATTGGTCAGTTCCTCATCATCAGCACTGTTTCTGCTAAGAACTTTACTCTTCTTCTTCTTGCAACCCCCTTCACTGGCAGGGCTGCTATGATCTTCTTCATTGCCTTCATCATTCTCATCCTCCTCACTCCCACTCCCCTCATCTTCATCATCCTCATTGTCTCCATCACTTCCTTCTTTCTGAGACGCAGATCTCCCCTTTCTCTTTACTGCAGTAGGCCGCCAATCATTGTCATCTTCACTGTCATAGTCATCCATGTCATTCAATTCTTCCATGGACACAAAATCCAAAAGTGGTCGATTTCGACGAAGGTTCCACTTTTTTGGCTCACTGACTTGTTCCTCTGTAGTAGTTGTAGTAGGGACTGAAGGAGATGCATTAACAGCAGGAGGACTTGTGGCTGGTGTGGTGGCAGCAGCAGAAGCAGCCACATTATCAGATACTGTTGCTTTTTCTTTCTCCTTCTCTCTCTCCTTCTCTTTTTCTTTCTCCTTCTCTTTTTCCTTCTCTTTGTCCTTTTTCTTTCTAGGTCTTTCTCCATTTTCTTCTTCCTTCTTTTCCATTTTAATTAACTGTTTTTCTGATGACAGTATTTCCTCCTCTGCAGAATTTTTAAGTGGTTCTTCTTTTACTTTAATATCTTCATTTAGTTCTTCCTCTAAAATATTTTCTTCAGAATCGCTACAGGAACCTTCTCCACTGTCCTTTGAGGGGTCTTCACTTCCATTACCACTCCCTTCAGAATCTGTTGAAAATATGAGAAAAAAAAACCACACATATGTATATACATACACACACACACACACAACGCTGACACAAATGAAACCACCAAAATCTGTGAGTAACTTGCAAAACAATATAAACAAATTTAAGTCAAATGATGGTAGACATTACTAACCTGATTAAATAATAAATCAATGAAGTTGGTGTAATGGTTTTATTTCAATATAGCATTAATGAAGACGAATATATGTAACTCTAAATTAAATATGTTTTAAAAGAGGAGCACTGTTTTGTCATATAGCGCATGCTTTACTTGGTACCCTAAAGGCAATTTTTTCTAAAAGTAAATGTCATTCTGTATAAATTGGGCACGTGGTTTTAACTTAATGATAATAGAATATGCGCCATAGTTTTCTACCCTTACATCTTCCTTTCATAAACTATATAGACTTATAAACATTGAGTCACATTCAGAACAAGAAAATCCTGGCCCAAAAAAACTTTGTTTCATTGTTTCATGCTTTACCCAGCAAAATTAGGCATAGATATTTATGATAGTCAACTTGTACCACATTCCTACTACACCCATCAATTTTAAGAGCACCAAGTACATAGATGAGAAGAGACAATAGCAATGGCACAGAAAATGGAAGTTGCAAGAGAAGTTATCAATTTTCCTGCTTATTAGGATATCAATAAAAGAATCACCTAAACTTTCAGTAACTGCTATATCTCCTAGAATGAAGAAATTAATAAATTTTTTTAAAACTAAGCCATCGAGCACCACAGTAGTCACTAAAAAGATAGGCGAAGGATATCAAATAGTTCACATAGGACTATAAGGCAGAAGCAAGTTTCTTCCGTTCCTGCCTAGCACAGCCCAGGCACTCTTAAGTCAACACTATTCAGTAACCTTCTAATCATCTTTATGCCTGATCAAATAAAACTCTAAAATATCTGTAGAGAGGGACACAGGGAGGAGAAAAAAGGAAGTGGGAAACAAAGCAGTCATAGTTAGATCATAACCAGCAATAGTAATAAAATCTGTAGGATGATGAATATTTTATACCTATAACCAAGAAAAGGGTAATAATAAATTATGAAAAAGTTTATGTTTCTACATCATTTTAATTTCTGTTAACTCAACCAGCCTTAGCCTCTATAATTAATTGGGCATTAGATGTAAAGAAATTATCTATGATTAGTATCTAGTATTTAAAATAGTTCAAAATGCTTTTATAAATAGCTGATAAAATTTAAATCCTGCTAATTAAATCACATTTTTTTAAAAAGACTAACATTTAGCAAATGTTGACTGACCTTATAAAATCATTGTCAGTCCCTAGGTTATCATACTCATAACTTACTCAGGACTGTTGTGGAGAAACACTCTCATCCTAAAAATTCTTGCATGGGACACAAAATCGTGTAGGTTAACAATCCCTTGTCTGAACTTTTTGGAGGCAGATGTTTCAGAAGTTAGACTTTGTTTTTTAAATTTTAGAAGGGTAGCATAGTATATGCAGAATATATCACACTAGCACCTGCCCTATAGCCAAACACATAATTTTGCAGTAAAATATATGAATAGTTATGATTATGATAAATATATACTACAAATAAATTATCAGTACCAATCAGGTTTTACCATCAAACAGTTTATGTCAAACTTAGGAAAGACCTGTGAATTTGTGGCTCCTCGGATTTCAAAAAAGTGTGTGGACCCAATTTTCACTCACAGATAGGTGACTTCTTTCAGTCCAGTAGCTCTCAAATCATTAAGAAAATTATGATTTTTTTTTTAGACCACTCACAATTAAACCCAACTTACAAAAACAAAACAAAACAAAACAAAAAACCTCTGGCAAAAAAGAATCTCTATGCAGACTGACTAAAGAAAATTGGAACATCTTGCAAGCAAGCCAATAATTAAGAGAGCTGGCAGATGGACAAAAGGTACTTTCTCCTGGATTAATCTTCTAGAAGCCATTTTACAAATACTTAGAAAGCACTCCTTAGTTATTTTTACCAATGAAAAATAACAATAGAACTCAACCCCTGTGGCTCAGTGGTTGAGCATTGACCTGTGAACCAGGTCACAGTTTGACTCGTGGTCAGGCACACGCCCAGATTGCGGTCTCAATCCTCAGTGTGGGGCGTACAGGAGGCAGCTGATCAGTGATTCTCTCTCGTCATTGATGTTTCTATCTCTCTCTCCCTCTCCCTTCCTCTCTGAAATCAATATTTTTAAAATAAATAAATAAAATAACAATAGATTCCAATATAAGATTAACTGGGGCACAAAAGTGGGTACTTGATCAAAACTGAGAGGAATTTAACTTTGCTATTAGTAAATTTTACAAACCATAAAGTATGTTTATAATTTTAGTTTGGTTGTTGTTGCCAATACCAATCAATTAATTATTTTTCAAAGTAGAGGGAAAGTGATACTTTAATTCTGTTTTTATTCTATAATCAAGCCTGAATAAAAAGCAATTTTGAAAAACTTAAATGCTTTACATTTATTAATATGTCATTAGAAGAATGTGAGTTTTTTCCACAAATACAAATCCTAATAGCTTACCCAACCCATCATTCTCCAAATATAACATATTAGCCATACTCCAACTGCAGCCATCAGGAATATATCAAATTTTATTTTTCTTTGATCTCTGAAAAATAATGTCTTCATCTGATTAGTCATCACTTCTTTTTAGTACATATGCACTTGAGGGATGGAGATAAAAATATTTAGTTACAGTGTAGCTTGGCAATAATGAGAATGAGAAGATCAGAGTTCTTGGCTGTCTATATTTTTATAGGCTGCAAAGAAATATTTCATGTTACTATGAATTCAAACAAAGACTCTCTCCCATATTCCAAATCTATCACTCTTACACTCTTCAAAGAAAAAAAGAACAGACTAGAGAAGTAATCCAAATACTTCAAATACAGCTAATCTTAGGCATAAGAACCAGATAATTCTAAGTCTATAATAAAAATTTTGACACTAGAAAAAAGTTTTAAAATTGAAATCCATACTTCCTACTCAGTTAAACAAAAAATAACCTTTCTCAAACACACTCTATCAAAATCTCTCCAATCAATAGCTATTTCAACTTACAGACAGATTTTTTTGCAGTTACAGAATTTTTTTTAAAAATCCGTCAAGAATCCCTTCACAATATTCAGTGCTTAAGTTTTCCCCAAGATAAATATCAAACAATAAAACCAAAAATGAAACAGTATGATTTAAATCAGAATTTTATGTTAGCTTTGCAATATAAAGAATCATCTTTGTTCATCAAATCTAAGTATTTATTCTGTTCATTGATGCAGTCCAACAGTGATTAGAATTATAAATATACACATCAGACAACAGATCACCGATCACCATCTACTGCTGATTGTTATCATCTTGTGACCATTTTGACAAATCCTGTAAAGCTCTTTTATAAAAGCCAATCAGTCAACGCAACTCACCCTCTATTTCCAGCTGTGACAATTTTGTCCCACAGAGGACATCTGGCAGTGTCTAGAGAGAATGGTGGCCATGTAAGGTCCAGGTATAGTAATACACAGCACAGGCCTCCACAATAAAGAATTATCCAACACAAGATGTCCATAGTGCTGAGTTTAAGAAACCCTGGTCTAGCATATAAGGCCTCAATGGGACCTCATTCTACTTTCCCAGGCTCATCCCTTCTATTATTTTATTCAGTCGCGATCCAGGATTAATAAACATTTTCCAACCTCTACACTTTCAACACTTAATGTTTCTTCATCTAGATTTCAGTTTCTAATTTAACTCTTATCTCAATGACTTCTCCTAGTTCAATCCATCTAGAGTAGACCTGTATCCTTTGAGAGACTTAAACTGCGTAAGTGATCAAGCATGCTTTGTATCATCTATTCATTATTTTATCTAATTACTCTAATGTTATCACTATTTCTTAGTGAATTCACCATAACATCCAGAAAAGTACTTTGAAACAAAACTACAGATGACCAAGAAACATTTTGATCCACTTAAGCTAAAGTCAAATTAAGCACAAAATATTACCAAACCAAAGTCTCAGCCTAACTCTTCCAGCTAAATTACTCTCTGACAATTTCACCTAACTAAACTATGACTTAAGATATAAAGTTAACCTTCTTACTTTGGCCAGAAGGTTAGGGGACATGGCATTGTTATATTGTCTTATTTAATAAAGGTAATATATATACTTTTCTTCAAAAAGATTCCATTTATATAGCAGATTACTCAATGAATCTATCCTAGCCCTAATCTTAGGTCCAAGTCTCAAATATAACCACTTTAGGCCAACACATGAAATTGATAATATTTGACAGTTTTATACCTATAAAACTGGTCATTTTATAGAGCTTCACCTAACATTTCTACATATGGCTTTTCTGGTGGTATCACAATAATTCTAATACACTTATATCCCATTTTAGGATTTATTAATTTTAAAATTTATTTATTGGCTCTCAATCAAAAGTGAAAAATTTAGGGGTGGGTGGGGGGAAGAGGTTAACCAAAGAATTTATATGTGTATATGCATTGCCCATGAACACAGGGAAAGGATAAAGGCCTGGGGGGCAGGGAGGACCAGGTGGTAGGGGACAAGGGGGAGAAAAGGAGGAGCATTTGTAATACTCTCAACAATAAAGATTAAAAAATAGATAAAGAAATAAAAATAATTGTTTAAAAAAAGAGAAAACAAGTGAAAAATTTAGCTCTATTTTCACCTTTGAGATAAAAGGTAATCTATATTCAGTTCATTATTTTGAATGGTAGAGGCTTATAATTATTGTCAATAATCACTGTCAGATAATTTTTGAACAATATTTCTTTTTAGATTTTATCATCTGAGAAACACATGAATAAAATTATGTTTATCTGCAGGGGTCTTAAATATAACCTTTGTCTATAGAATTTTCAATATTTATTCTTAAAGCCAAACAGAAATATGAAGTTTTGTAGTCAGAATTCAGATTTCAAAATGAAAATCAGAAGAAACTGATGCAGAGAATCAGATAAAAATTGAGGCAAATCAATCTAAGCATTTTAACATTAAGTTCTAAGAAAGTCAGGAGTCATTCCTAGAAATTGTTTGGAAAGAAATGGTTTTTATTTCTCCACTTTCGGTTTAATCAATTCATAGATAAGGTTGGGATTCCACAAAGTCAGAATGTTTAAAAAGCAGTGATAAGTTTAATGTCTTATTTCCTGTAAGAGTCCAACTATCTCAGACAGAGAAAAGATGCAAATAGGAATCACTGGTAATCTAGAATAAGCCAACATTTCAGCCATGGGAGACACCAATGCTCCTAATCCAAGAGCAGAAAATATCATTCAATTTCTACTGACTATGAACTATTTTAAAGAAAATCATTTTCTACTAACTCTCATTTACAATAACATCAAGAACTACACAGATAAATTTTGACTCTGGGTCACAATTTAATCTCCCCAGAGGTCAAGAAAGTAGGTATTATGTATACAGATTTTTAGTGCTTTTAGAATTTCTTTTAATTATCAGCTAATAAAACTCATCCTACCACTTACCACAAATAATAGATAATTCCCATTAACTCTGATTAAAATTTAACAAGTTCAGGAATCTCTAATTAGCTTGATATCATAAATTATTTTGAGAAAGTAGTTTGTACCATTAAATTGTTTTAAATGTTGTAAAAGAGAAGTGATACCTGTGAATGACTCCATCTTAATAAGCAAAAAGAAAAAAAAATTACAAAATCAGAATTTATTGCCAAAAAATAATTATGGAACATTTAAAGAAATTAATCTTTGGAGTTTTTCCCATAATGGTATTCAAATAAGTAATAATTTCTGAGATCCAACTACTTTAATCACACTTTACAATCTGGACCATAACAAATCAAAATAACATTCGAGTCAAGAATATTCTATCTGCCAAGGTTTCACCAAGAGAACTAAAGTAGATTTGGATTTTACCCCCTTGCCCTTCCTTTTCTTTCCCTTCTTTGGTACCAAGCACCAGTGAATCAACTAAATGGAAGGTAAAAGAGCTGAGAAGGTTAAAAAACAAACAAACAAAAATCAAGATAAACTTAACAACTTTTGATTACTGGGAGTGACCTGATTAGTCAGCACACCATCCAAGTAGTTTTGGTTTAAGATTATATCCTTATCTCTGTTTAGGATCTAAGCAGAGAAAAAGACTGTAAATTTTGGAATCAAAAGACATGGATGAGAATCCACTATGGCCTGAGTGACCTCATGAAAGTTCTTTAAATTCAGTTCCCCTATTATCAAAAAATATCTCCTTTGCTAAGTTACTTTAAAAATTAAATGAGATTATGGGAACAAAAAGTTCTCAGTAAGTCACAAGTGAATTCTGTTGACGCTATTAAAAGTAATACTAGTAACATAACCTAACTTCATCCCTTCCTTATCATCCCTAGCAGGAAAAAAAAAAAAAAACAGAAAGGAGAAAGACTAAGCATAGAAAATTCTAAGGAAGAATACTTAAAATCTGTTAGAGGAATGCGCCCTGGCCAGGTGGTCAGAGCACATACAAGAAGCAACCAATGAATGCATAAATAGGTGGAACAACAAATGGATGCTTTTCTTTCTCTCTCTCTTTCTCTCTCTCTCTCTCTCTCTCTCTCTCTCTCTCTCTCTCTCTTATCAATAAATAAATCTTCTAAGTATTTTTAAAGCCTGTTAAAAGGATGAAACTGTAAGGCAGCAGTTCTCAACCTGTGGGTCGCCACCCCTTTGGGGGTCGAACGACCCTTTCACAAGGGTCGCCTAAGACCATCGGAAAACACATATATAATTACATATTGTTTTTGTGATTAATCACTATGCTTTAATTATGTTCAATTTGTAACAATGAAATTGGGGGTCACCACAGCATGAGGAACTGTATTAAAGGGTCGCAGCATTAGAAAGGTTGAGAACCACTGCTGTAAGGGCTTTCATTTCTCTCTTTAAATTTCCACTCAAAAGGGGCAGAATAGCCCTAACCGGTTTGGCTCAGTGGATAGAGCATTGGCTTGTGGAGTGAAGGGTCCAAGATTTGATTCAGGTCAAGGGCATGTAGTTGCGGGCACATCCCCAATAGGGGGTGTGCAGGAGGCAGCTGATTGATGTTTCTCTCTTATCGATGTTTCTAACTCTCTATCCCTCTCCCTTTCTCTCTGTAAAAAATCAGTAAAATATATTTAAAGGGGGGGGGGCAGAATAATAAGTAATGTTTATTGTTCACATATTTAAACATAATTTGTATCCATTTCAATTAAGATTTTATATGTATCTTTATATGAGCTACAATGAACAGAACAAAGTAAACCATACTCTTCTTTCTATGTTTTCCAATTTTGTACAATGTGAATATATGACCTTTTTTAAAAAGTTTATTTTTTAAATCACAAAACATAGAGCAAGCATGCATGCTTTACATCTCAAGAGATTTTTGAAAGGCCCAAACCACAAGCAAGGTCCAGTGGCTACTATGAAACACAATTTTTTTCTCTGGTCAGCTTTAGTAAAACTCCCCTCAGAGGGTGCGCCAAGTGATATGAAAAGAGAAGAACCCTGCTCATGAGCAGTTCATGGCTCACATTACTCTCAGGATATTATTCTACCTCGTGATATCTCTCATTTTTCCCCCTCTATCCATCAAATAAGCATAACTATATTTCCAAGTAAAGAATAGAGAAAACGTTTTTGCATCTTGGGAAAAAGTCCTCTGGCAGGTTCATTAAGAATCAACAAAAACAGATAACAATGATCGGACCTAGTGATAGGATCTTAGAGAAATGTGGGAAATCAACTGTACAAAATAAATGAAGTTTATGTGCTTTAACTTTAAATTGGCATTGTAATCAAAACCAATTCTTTAAAAAAAAAAAAGTCTGAAAATAAACCCAACTTCAGAGAGCTGGGAACGGGAAGAAACATTTACCTGAGGCATCTCCAACTTTAAAATCACTGTCATCTGAACTATCATAATCGAGAGCTTCTAGCAGAGAAGCTGCCAAAGGCTTCACCTGCCTCCTCTTGGAGCTGCGATCCACTGTTAAGGAAAAATAAATAAAATTATAGCGTCATTCAAAACCACACAAAGCACAGGGGAGAGCAGTGGTGCTGTGGGAAGGTGCAGAAGACCTCCTGCTAGGGATCTTCATCTGATTCAGCTCTGGGCTAAAGGTGTTGGGGAAGGAGGGGTGGGAACGCGGGCTGGGAGGGCCGGTCGGTTGGTCAGCGAAGCCGACCCTCCTGCACATCTTGTGATGTTTCCGCGGGTCGGTCGTCACCCCTCATTGAGGCACCGTGACCGTCAACAGAAAGCACACGCCAGGCCCAGGGAAGAAAAGAAGTCGCGATCGCTCCCGCGGACCGCGAGGGGCACGCGTCCACGCAGCGCCCCCCCGCCCGGCTGTCCCACCTGCCCTGCCTCCTCCGAGGGCTGAATGGACCTTCCTCCCCGCGGAGGCCTCCGACACTTACTAAGGAATCCGTGCGGCGGTCGTTGGGAGACCTAGGGAGAGGCTGCGGGAGCCCAGGCAGCGCCGAGGTCGGGGGCTGAGACCGCGGGACCCAGTCGGAAGATGCTATTTAAAATCGGCGGTGGCGCCGCGCGGA